GAATGTTGTATGCGATGATGGGAACGTTGCGTGCAACAATGTGAATGTATCCTCGTCTGCGGATGTAAACAGAAAACGAAAGAGAGCTCACAGTGTATTGTCCAAATTATGGCACTATCATTTAGGCCATATTTCGAGGGGGAGAATAGAAAGACTAGTTAAGAATGATATTCTTCCTCCATTAGAGCTCTTAGATTTAGAACAATGCAGAGAATGCATTAAAGGAAAGTATATAAAGAAAATTAAGAAAGATGCCAAACGAAGCGCACAAATTCTACAGATTATTCACACAGATATATGTGGTCCGTTTCCTGTAAAGAGTGTGGATGGTTATGATTCATTCATAACATTTACAGATGATTACTCTCGTTATGGCTACATTTATCCAATCAAAGAAAGAACAGAAGCATTTGATAAATTTAAGATATTTAAGGCAGAAGTTGAAAACCAACACAATTTAAAGATTAAGATAGTCAGGTCAAACTGTGGGGGAGTACTACGGTCGGTATGCCCCATATGGCCAAGTTCCTGGACCTTTTGCAAGGTTCTTACAGGAGAATGGCATAGTAGCTCAGTATTCTACACCGAGCGAACCTCAGCAGAATGGAGTAGCTGAAAGACGCAATTGTACCCTGATGGCTATGGTGCATATTATGATAAGTTACTCTACCTTACCGTTGAGCCTGTGGATGGAGCTGTTAAAACCGTCATTCATATTCTCAATAGAGTACCAAGTAAGTCGGTGCCTAAAACACCGTATGAGTTGTGGATAGGAAGAGTACACTTACTAAACCACTTACGTGTGGGGGAGTCCCACTGATGCTAAAGTATTTAACCCTAATATTGGGAAGCTAGATCACAAAACAGTAAGTTGTCATTTCATTGGCTACCTAGAAAAGTCAAAAGGTTTTTGTTTCTACTATCCAGAGAGACATACAAAGTTTATGGAAACGAGACATGCAGTCTTTCTAGAAGATGAAATGATTAGGGGGAGCATGGTAGCGCGAGAAATTGACCTTGAAGAGAAGCGGGTGTATGCGCCCACTCCGATGATTCATGAGCCATTTTTCTCACTACCTGCTATCGCTGCACCGACAGTATAAGATACTGTGGTGCCAGCACCTGTTGTTATCCCACCTGTGGCAACAATGAATGATGATGATGAACCTGTTCTTCAGGATCCTATAGAACCTATTGCCACAAATGAGGGGGAGCAACAACAGACTCAAACAGAAGATGTGCCAAATGTGGAGGCCCCTAGAAGGTCTCAAAGAATTAGAAAATCAGCTATTTCTGGTGATTATGAAGTGTACAACACTGAGGAATTTCAAATAGAGGATGATCCCACCTCATTTGAAGAAGCCATGAGAAGTGATCATTCATCAAAGTGGCTTGAGGCCATGGAAGATAAAATGAAATCTATCAATGCCAATAAAGTTTAGGATTTGGAGATAATTCCTAAAGGAGCCAAAATAGTAGGCTATAAATGGGTCTACAAAACAAAACTTAACTCTCAAGAGAATATAGAAAGATATAAAGCGTGACTTGTGGCAAAAGGCTTTACGCAAAGAGAAGGGATTGATTACAATAAGACCTTTTCTCCAGTCTCATGTAAAGATTCCTTCAGAATCATAATGGCATTAGTGGCACATTACGATTTAGAATTACATCAGATGGATGTAAAGACGACATTTCTCAACGGGGATTTGGAGGAAAATGTTTACATGGCACAACCGAAAGGTTTTGTCATAGAAGGAAAAGAACGAATGGGATGCCACCTAAATAAATCCATTTATGGATTAAAAAAGCTTCAAGACAGTGGTACTTAAAGTCTGATAAGACAATAAGAAATTTTGAGTTTAAAAAAAATGTAGAGGACAATTGTGTCTACACAAAGTTTAAGAATAGGAAGTTCATCTTCCTTGTCCTATTTGTGGATGATATCTTACTTGCTAGTAGTGATGTTAGTCTACTACTGGAGATAAAGAAGTTTTTGTCCTCAAAATTTAATATGAAAGATCTTGGTGAAGCTTCGTTCGTTCTAGGGATCGAGATTCACCGAGATAGAAGTAAAGGGATATTAGGACTGTCACAAAAGGCATACATAGAAAAAATCTTAAAGAAATTCAGTATGCACAAATGTAGTCCCTCACCTGCTCCTATAGTCAAGGACGATAGATATGGGGATTTTCAATGCCCCAAGAACCAATATGAGATCGATCAAATGAAAGCGGTTCCATATGCTTCAGCTGTCGGAAGCTTGCAATATGCTCAAGTGTGTACGTGCCCTGACTTGGCATTTGTTACCGGGTTACTTAGCAGATTCCAGAGCAATCCTGGAATAGAACACTGGAAATTAGTAAAGAAAGTCTTACGTTATTTGCAAGGAACGAAAGGCATCATGATGACGTATAGAAAATCTGATTCACTCTATATAGTAAGGTATTTAGATTCTAATTATGTGGGAGATGATAGAAAATCCACGTCTGGATATGTATTCACTCTCGCAAGGGGAGCTATTTCATGGAAAAGTTCAAAACAAACCATCACTATATTGTCCACAATGTATGCCAAGTTTGTAGCGTGTTATGAGGCAACGAGGCAGGTGAACTAGCTAAAGAAGTTCATACCCGGTTTGAAGGTGGTTGACGACATCTATAGACCACTAAAGTTATACTGCGATAATAATCTGGCAGTACAGTATGCTCACAACAATAAGTCAAGTGGTGCTGCCAAACACATTGACATAAAGTATTATGTTGTGAAAGATAAAGTCAGGGATCATGTTATAAGTCTTGAGCATATAAGTACCGAAAAGATGCTTGCGGATCCACTTACAAAAGGCTTACCACCCAATGTGTTCAGAGAACATGTAGCCGGCATGGGTTTAAGGGAAAGTCTATAATTCCTGGACAAAAGAAGGCACAAAGATAAGTATCTATTTCAGAACAGAATGGTGTGTTGTAACTGTTAAATCTATCTGCAATGGACCGTGACGATGAGACATGCTCTATGTGCTAATCTGTAATGGAATGAACAAAAGTAAATGATATAAAAGTAAAAGATGAAAAGAGATCAAGGGGGAGATTGTTAGATTGATCTCTAATCCTAACTGGACCCAACGGTCCAGTTGGGCCTTTGATCCACGCCCTGATCGGGGGCGTCCAGTCCACTATGGCTGGAGGGCCCCTGTCACACTACGCAATAAATAGAGGTGGGGGGTGGCGGCTCAAGTCACAAGGTTCACCTGAGCCGAGGTCCCCACCAACACCTAAACCCTAATCCGATCTAGAGGGGCGCAGCCAGTGACGAGAAGTCACCAGCCGCGCCGCCACCGATCTTCACTGCCGGTTGCCACTACTCATCACCAACACAGTCTTCCCCGAACGTCGTTGCCCATGCGCAGACTTCACCGACGAACGAGATGGAGGCCTCTGGATCTACTTCCTCTGCAGTGTCAGGTTCACCCCTCTCTGTCTCTCTCTCGTTGCACTAGAACGTGTTCTAGGTCCATGATTCATCAAGTAAATGTTTAGCACCCCGGCTAGATATACTCCTAGACGATCCGAATAGACAGAGACCCCTCTCTGTCTCTCTCTCATTGCACTAGAACGTGTTCTAGGTCCATGATTCATCCAGTAAATATTTAGTACCCCGGCTAGATATACTCCTAGACGATCCGAATAGACAGAGAGAGCTATCCATGTTTACCTAAGAATGGATAGCTCTGTCCAGGGGAAGTAAAGGTGTGTCATTCAGGGTTAACTATCTCCATCTGCGTTTGCTTTGGGGAATTGAGACGACGACAGGAAATTCATCTTAACATAACAGAAGCAAACCATTTGAAGTTTGAAACAGGAAAACGTCAACTCATGACTGTAGAAGACCGAAAAGAGTTCATTGTCAAAGCCACAAACTGTTGGTATAAAAAAAAACACAAACTGTGACAAAGTTCGAGTAGATAATAATAATAAAATAAAATATGTCTGTCTCATGGACCATGGGCCCATGGGGCTAAGAAATATTGCGACACTAAAACCAAACAACAGCCATAGAAACTGAAGCACACGTAACTTGAACCGGTGTTTCTCAATAAAAAGGAAAAAAAACGTAACTTGAACCGGCAACGTGTTAGGAGCATAAACGAAATAGGCACTTAGTTACGAATGAGACAAGCATGCCCTCAAACTTTGTAAACCCTGCACCATTTCTTTTCACTACTAGGTTCAACTTCATCCTTTCTGGGCCACCTCTCCTTTTAATAAATAAAAACAGATAGCTAGCTAGCTCTCCAACCGATTTGTTAATTTAAAAAGTAAATACACAGACAATCTCTCCAGTTTATTACAGTATCACACCATTGGCGAAGATGTTAAGAAAAAAGCATGCAAAAATGTTGTTGCAAAATACTCTTTATGTACCCCGTAAGGCATAGCCTGTTCGCACGTGTTTGCAAAATACTCTTATGTACCCCGTAAGGCGCTTATGTGAGAGAAACTAGTTAGTGGTATGTCAGGATCCGGGTCAAGATCCTGACGGATAGTGCGTGGCACTAGAATTGAACTTGGGCAAGAACAGGATGAAATCAGACAAGAACAGGAAGAGGGGATATATAGTTTCAGAGTTCAGAGAACCGGGATACAGGGAACGGTTTGTTTCTTTAGTTATTCGACACCCCATTCAGTTACAGGACCGCGTCCTTTAGAGCACCTCCAGTGTGCAGAGAAATCGAACCGTGAGTAGGAAAAATCGAACTTTGCACATTGTAGAAACCGAACCGTGCGTGTCAGAACTCAAATCGCGTTCTGGGCAAGAGTCGAACCGAGACGACTAAACAACTATAACCGTCCGGCCGTGGGTGAGACAGAAAATGACACGTAGAGAGAGAGTAGATTTTTTTATTGTTTTCTCGTGCACTAATCGAACCAACCGCTGGAGCACTCGAACCATACTTTATAACTTTTGGGTCCGTTTCTTTTTTTTATTTCAGCCAGCCTAAATTAGTTAGCTAATAATATTTTCTTTTCACAACAAATCAATATTAACCAGCTTAAATCAGTCCAGAAACCAACCAGCTAATAGACCGTCTGTCAGTTTGGTTCAAACGCAGGACTGGAGCTGCCCTTAAACAGGCTCCACCGAGCCACCGCCTCAACGCGGCTATACACACGCCGACACAGCCTGACAGCTATAGATAAACGGACAAAACGTAAGAGCGTGTTTAGTTCGAGGAAATTGGAATTTGGGGTTATTGTAGCACTTTCGTTTTTATTTGACAATTAGTGTTTAATCATAGACTAATTAGGCTCAAAACGTTCGTCTCGTAATTTCCCACCAAATTATACAATTAGTTTTTTTCGTCTACATTTAATGCTCCATGCACGGGCCGTAAATATTCGATGTGATAAATACTATAGCACTTTTTAGAAATTTAGGATGGATCTAAACACGCGCTAAATGCTCTATTCTGCCTTTACCCCACCGAAAGCGCCTGGTAGCTGGCAGTTCTCACTGGTATCGGTTTAATCTTTGTTTGTACATCAACGAGACTAATAATACAGCTGGCCTGTCGCCGGTAAGGATATTTGCAGTCTTCTCTCAATCTATCCATATAGTAATTAACTCTTATCTATTAATATATGACCTATTTATTTCTCTCATAAAATTTGTCGGTTCTTATGTTTACTCCGGCTGTAAATTTACACTCCGCTTCTCTTCTCTCTCCTCGGCTTAAACAAGTCCGCGAGGACGGTCCGGATGGTTGGCCGGTGCTTTGGGTCTGGGTTGCTGCATCGAAGGGCGAGCCGTAAGAGCACATCGGCTTGGGCCTTGTCGAAGTCAGGGGCTTTATTCGTGTCCTCGTCAAGCGCCGCGTCGAGTCGTGCCTCTCCGTTGAGCTCCTGGACCCAGTCGAGCAGTGAGCTGTATCCCGTCGGGAGCTGGTCGCGGGCGAACATGCGCCGGCCGCACAAAACCTCCAGCATCATTACGCCGAAATGGAGCACGTCCGTTTCAAGACTTGGGCCACCAGGGGCGCCGGAGTTTTCGTCGGCGGCGGCGCTCAGGATCCATTCCGGGTATAGGAGTGACCCTAGCGTCCCCGTTGCTGGTTCACTCCCTTGATGCTCAGCTAGCACCGTGGAGTACCTGAAGTCGGCGAGGCGGCCTCGGAAGGCGGTCGAGGTCGGTTCCAGCATGATGTTGGATGCCCTAACAGCGCCATGAAAGGCATTTCTGTCGTGCAGCTGCAGCAGCCCCCTTGCGGCGTCCTTGATGATAATTTGGCGCTGGACCAAGGTCAGCGCCGGGTGGGGGGAGTCCTTTTCGGCGAATAGCTCATACCTCATAGTCGAGGCTCTGATAGCGCATCCAGTCGTAGACGAGGTACAGCTTGCCGTCGTGCAAACAGTATCCTGCAAGTGACAGTTTATATATATAATATGGAAACCAATAAGTACTTATATGTAGGAGGAGTAGTAATAATAATAATAACAAGCTGCTGATCGATCTGATTCGTACCGAAAAGTGTGACGAGGTTTCTGTGTTGTAGCATGTACTTCTTCCGTCTAAGATGTTCACCGATTTGCTCGCAATCATCTGTGATGTTCTTGTGAAACCTCTTTATGGCAACTTTTTTCATGAGGGTGTCATCAAACAGAAGATGGCCAGCATACAGCACGCCTGATCTGGACTCGTTCCCCTTCTCAAAATCTTTAGTCGCCTTCGCCAAGCTCAAGTAGCTGAACTCCTTGAGCGGCCCCTGGCATACCGGAGCGATGTCCCGCAAGCCCGAGTCTGTCGCCGCCGCCGGATTCTGCTGGGCACTTGGTTCATAAAGCGGGGAGCGATGATGCCTTCCTTGCGGCCAAAGTTTTAAATCTCCGGCCTTACTTGCGGTTGCGGCACATGCCGCGCCCAGTGCCTGGGCTCCGGTGAACCACAAGGGCTACGCCGCGCCATCGTCGGGGAGATGGACTTGGCGTCGTCTTCCTCCAAGACCCGCTGGACCTTGACCACGACGAAGGGACTAAACAACTGCTTAATGCTGAATTCCGCCATGCTTCGGCCCTCCGCCTCCTCCTCCTCCGCTGCGTGTCCGACGGGGCTCCCGCAGCGGCAGCAGTGCTGCCTCAGCAAGGCGACCAGCAGGGTGCCCACTGTTAGTTGATCTCCACCATATTGGACCCTTGGATCTACGTCCTGATCGAGGGCGTCCAACCCTAATATGATTGGTGGGCCCCTGTCGCACAACACTATAAAGAGAGGTGGGGATCAGGGCTCTAACTATGAGATTGACCGGAGCCGTCGTGATCCACCAACAGAAAACCTAACCCGATCTAAAGAGGGTGCTGCCAGCGACGGGAAGACCCACTGACTTCGCCGCCATCAACCTCACCGTCGCCTCTGCATCACCACTGGACCTCGCCACCACAATGCTGGACTCCACTGCGCCGAGCCGCCACGACACCGGGGTCCAAGCCGCTACGACGCCATGGACCGAATGATGACCTAGGGCGAGGTACATCAACATTTTCCCCATCTAAGTAAGATGCTTACCCCTGATCTACATTTCAGAGGCACTGTGTTTACCAACAATGGTACTAGAGCTAGGTTAACAGTGTGTAGATCTAGTATGGGGTAGAGAATTGAAAAGAAATCGAAGAGGAATGGAGGGTTCGATCCAGTTCAGATTGAAACCCTAACCCTAACCGAGTAAAAGAAAATGAAAAGAGACCGGGGAGGTGGCGGGCGTCACTCAACTGCCGATCACCACCGCCACCGCGCGGGGAAAGGTGCTGCACCACTGTCTTCGCCGACGCGCGGCAAGAAAAGATCAGAGGGTTCAACCGAACCCAAACCGAAAGAAAAATGAATCGGGTTAATCCTAATCCTAACCCTAACCCTAATCCCCAATCGGCAAAGAACCAAGAAGAAAACAGACAAGAAAGCAGAGAACCGATCAGATCTAGTTCGGGTCTGAGAAGAAAGAGGGTTTTCCTAACCCTAACCCTAACTGGGTGAAAGAAACAAGAGAAGGAGGGCTCGGCTTCAAGTCTACTCGAAACCGAACCCTAAACCCACAATCAATTCGGGAAGAAGAAGAACAGAGCGAATCCCTAACTCTAACCCGAAACCCTAACCATAGATCCTCAATCGGTTGAATCCGAGAAGAACAAACCAGACCCAAATCAGAAGGGGAAGAAGGGGAAGGGGAGGCCTGCCTCGACCGCTGCTGACACCGTCGTAGTGCAGCTCGCCGGCGTGCGGGGAGAAGAAGGCCGAGCCGGGGGGCGCTGCTCGCCGGGCTTTGGCCAAGGGGGCGCCGTAGCCAGACCGCTCGACGATGGCGCGCTCACCCGCTGGGGAGCGCGCTCGCCGGTGAAGGGGCCGGCGACGGTGCCGAGGCTCTACTCGCCCTCCGTCGTCTGCTCGCTCGGACTCGCCTCGCTGCGTCTGAGAGAGTGAGAGAGAGGAGGAGGCGCAAATGAGCGTTTAGGGTTCGGGAGAGACCGACGTCCGTGGTTTTTGTTCGAGCGAGACGGTCGGGCGACCGTCGGATGCGATGCAACGGCGGAGCGCGACTAGGCCAGTTTCGGCCCAGGCGGGGCGCGCGGCCGCGGCGCTTAGTCGGCCCAGGCCCACGTTGTGGCCTGGGTGGCAACGTTGTGCGCGCAAAAACAGAAACAGGCCGGGCCAGATTTCACTGTTTCATCTAGTTTGGGCCAAATGTGTGTTCATACGAGTTTAAGTTTTATTTTTTTCAGAAACAATTTTTGATGATATTTGTCTAGTTTAATATCTCTGTTAAAATTTGAACCAACGAGATAATTTTTCAGAGAATATTTGAGAAAAGTTTAATGCTTCTGAAAAATAGATAATGAATTTTCATGTTTCCGCTGCTAAAGAAATAGTTTATTCTCCGGTTATTTTGAACCAACGTGATATTTAATTGGAGAAAAAGAGATTTTGACATGATTATGATGTTGTTATTTTCTAAGCAACGTTGTTAATAATAATATCATAATTTTAATGATTTTATGTATTAATTCTATTTTTGTCCAACGGTGATGTAGAATTAGTGTATAAGAATAGTTGTATGTTTTAATTTTGACCAACGTTAGAATCAAGGCATGCAATTGTTGTTATTATTTATGTTCTCACTCTATATGAATTGTGTTGCCAGGCGGATACAACTTGATGGGTTGTATCAAAGAGATCCCCACTTTCAAAGGTGACAACTACACGGAGTGGAAGAAAAAGATTGACCTGGCCTTCATCTTGGCTGAGGTGGACTGGGCAGTCCACCTCACCGTGTCTCACTGAGCCTGTGGCACCGGTGAGGGAGACAAACGAGGCTGGTGCCGCTTGGGCAACTAAAGAGAGGCATTTTGAATCCCAAAAGATGTCCGATGACCTTGAGAATAGGAAGTGGGTCACTGCCAACAAGAAATGTTTGGCTATGATAAAGAACACGATTGAGCCTACAATTGTGAGCTTAATCCCAGAGTGTGACACGGTCACCGAGTATCTCGATAGAATAAAGAGTCAGTTCACTGGCTCTTCAAAGATATATGCTACTCAGCTGATAAAGCAGCCGGTGACAAAGAGTTACTCTGGAAATGGTGGCATAAGAGAGCTCATGATGCGTCGTCGAAATTATGGCACTGTCGTTTAGGTCATATTTCAAGGGGGAGAATAGAAAGACTAGTTAAGAATAATATTCTAACTCCATTAGAGCTCTTAAATTTAGAACAATGCAGAGAATGCATAAAAGGAAAGTATGTAAAGAAAATTAAGAAAGATGCCAAACGAAGCATAGGAATTTTATAGATTATTCACACAGACATCTGTGGTCCGTTTCCTATAAAGAGTATGGATGGTTATGATTCGTTCATAACATTCACAGATGATTACTCCCGTTATGGCTATATTTATCCAATCAAAGAAAGAACAGAAGAATTTGATAAATTTAAGATATTTAAGGCAGAAGTTGAAAACCAACACAATTTAAAGATTAAGATAGTCAGGTCAGACCGTGGAGGGAGTACTATGGTCAGTATGCTCCATATGGCCAAGTTCCTAGACCTTTTGTTAGATTCTTATAGGAGAATGACATAGTAGCTCAGTATTCTACACCGGACGAACCTCAGCAGAATGGAGTAGCTGAAAGACGTAATTGTACCCCGATGGATATGGTGCGCATTATGATAAGTTACTCTACCTTACCGTTGAGCCTGTGGATGGAGGCGTTAAAACCGCTATTCATATTCTCAATAGAGTACCAAGTAAGTCGGTGCCAAAAACACCATATGAGTTGTGGACAGAAAGAGTACCCTCACTAAACCACTTACGTGTGGGGGAGTCCTGCTGAGGCTAAAGTATTTAACCCAAACATTGGGAAGCTAGATCACAAAACAGTAAGTTGTCATTTCTTTGGTTACCCAGAAAAGTCAAAAGGTTTTCGTTTCTACTATCCAGAGAGACATACAAAGTTTGTGGAAACGAGACACGCTGTCTTCCTAGAGGATGAAATGATGAGGGGGAGCATGATAGCTCGAGAAATTAACCTTGAAGAGAAGCAGGTGTATGCGCCCACTCCGATGATTCATGAGCCATTTTTCTCACTACTTGCTGTTGCTGCACTGACAGTGCAAGATACTGTGGTGCCAGCACCTGTTGTTATTCCGCCTGTGGCAACAATGAATGACGATGAGGAACCGGTTCTTCAGGATCCTGTAGAATCTATTGCCACACATGAGAGGGAGCAACAACAGCCTCAAACAGAAGATGTGCCAAATGTGGAGTCTCCTAGAAGGTCTCAAAGAGTTAGAAAATCAGCTATTCCTGCTGACTATGAAGTATACAATACTGAGGAATTTCAAATGGAGGATGATCCCACCTCATTTGAAGAAGCCATGAGAAGTGATCATTCATCAAAGTGGCTTGAGGCCATAGAAGATGGAATGAAATCTATGAATGCTAATAAAGTTTGAGACTTGGAAATAATTCCTATAGGAGCAAAAATAGTAGGCTGTAAATGGGTCTACAAAACAAAACGACTCTCAAGGGAATATAGAGAGATATAAAGCGTGACTTGTGGCAAAAGGCTTTACGCAAAAAGAAGGGATTGATTACAATGAGACATTTTCTCTAGTCTCATGTAAGGATTCATTCAGAATCATAATGGCATTAGTGGTATATTACGATTTAGAATTACATCAGATGGATGTAAAGACGGCATTTCTCAACGGGGACTTGGAGGAAAATGTTTACATGGCACAACCGAAAATGTTTTGTCATGGAAGGAAAAGAACGAAAGGGATGTCGCCTAAAGAAATCCATTTATGGATTAAAACAAGCTTCAAGACGGTGGTACTTAAAGTTTCACCAGACAATAAGGAATTTTGGGTTTAAAGAGAATGTACAGGACAATTGTGTCTATGCAAAGTTTAAGAATGAGAAGTTTATCTTCCTTTGTCCTGTATGTGGATGATATCTTACTTGCTAGTAGTGATGTCAGTCTACTGCTGGAGACAAAGAAGTTTTTGTCCTCAAAATTTGATATCAAAGATCTTGATGAAGCTTCGTTCGTTCTAGGGATCGAGATTCACCGAGATAGAAGTAAAGGGGTATTAGGACTGTCACAAAAGACATACATATTTATTAGGATGAAAATGGTATGGATATTTTCCGACTGTATTCGAGTCTGAATCTGTTTAGAGGGGTTTAGATCTGTCCGTATTCGAGTCTGGATATTCAACATCCGATACCGTATCCGTATCCGAATACTCAAATCGCATATTTATGATGTCGACATCTAATCGTATCCTATCCGGCATGGCTGATACTATCCATATTCGAATCCGAATCCGACTAGAAATATGAAAACAAATATAATATCAGTGATATCCATTCGTATCCTATCCATTTTCATCCCTGACATTTATATACATGAAGATGCCGTCAGCTGCCTGCGTCGTCAGCATGGAAAAACGTGTTTGGCGACAACAAGTAGGGGGATCATTTGATGTTGCATTGTCTGGATTATTTGTCTATAT